GTTAGTCTTTACAGTAGGGCCATCGAAGATCCAGCTACCTCTCTACTCAGATCTTCTCAAATGGACTTCTTGTTACCCAATTTCAATGAATTTACATAGCCACAAGGACTTATCTAGTGTTTGCTCTGCCCGATTTGTCAGTTTGTATTCCTTCATGTAACTCCAACATTGCACAGATGCCCCATGACCTGCCAGTCATGCTGGTGTGATCGCTATTACAGATATTCTAACCCAATCATTAGTAACAGTTGCCATAATACGAATATTACATAGGTGATTATCCAAATTTTCATCGTCGATGGGATTTGAACACCCAATCTACCACTTGGAGGGTTGACAATTTGACCACTTCACTAGGTTGCTACATCCCTTTTTTAAATATATGTATCTTAATTAATATTTAACTAATTTTATGAATTTACTATTATTAAAATCAGAAAACCTTATTTTATAATTTTTAATTAATATAGTGTAATAATTTAGTGAAGTAGATAAGTTGTCAACCCCAAGTGGCAGGTCTAGAGTTCAAATCTTAATGACAATGAAAATTTGCAATTTTTTTTATATTATAGTTAACTGTCTTTTATAATTGGTTGGAATAAGATACCTGTAACCTGTATCATACTAGCATGACTGAAAGGTTTAGGTATTTGTACAATATTGTATGAAGAAACACAAACTAGTACTAAATGATATGAACCCAAGATAAGTTCTTAGAATGAATAAATTATAGGAACCAGATAGAAAGACTGAAACTTATTTGAAAGATCTGAGTAGAGAAGTAATCTAAACTTTTGACAATGCTACTGTAAAGACTAGACTTATAAAATGGAGCTAGAATTTGTAAAACCAAACAAATGTGCCAGTCTTTGAGGAAGGACTAGATAAACTAACCAAGCTGCCAAAATTTTCAAATTTTTAAAAAAAATATACATGTTGGCAAATATGTAAACCAGAGATATATAGTTATAATTTACCTTTCTGGACTATCTAGAATAATAACTTGGTGAAACTTGAATTGAATACCAAAGTAGTAAGAATATGTTGTAAAGTTAGTATCAGGATTGGGATAAACTCTACAAAGACATAGCAGTTTAATAGTATGCCTTGACTGCTAGTATTGGTCTTAGTCATAATGATATCAAATCAGTTATAAGAATAGGATACAAAAGATTTCAGAAGGTTTAGTACAAGTCAAAGATTCTAAAGAACTGCTTTAAAGACTTAGTAGCCATGACATATTTTTATTAATATTGATCAGAATTATTAGTAGGTAAAGATAGATGGATGGATATAAAAACTAAAGTAGTTAAATAAGAAACCTACAAGCAGGTTTCAGATATGACAGCTAGTGTAGAACCTTTGAGCAGACTACTTAAATTAGACAATGACTAAAGTTGTATGAGTAGCTAGTTGTACATTTTTTTTATAATTGCTTTCTGTGGTTGTAATACAATCATTAGTCAAATATACTATCAATAAAATCCTAAGCTACAAGTACTCATCTTAATATTTAAAAAAAAATTTTAATTAATATTCAAAAGTTGTTTACTTAAGAAAATATTTTTTATTTTTAATTAAATAAAATTTTATTATAAGTTTTATATATAATTTAAAAATCATATCCTCTATTTTTAGTTGTTAAATAAAACTAATATCATCTATATTTCAGATTTGAATCAGATAAAATATTTGAATTTTGTTTGAAAAATTAGTTTTATATACTAGACTTCATTAATGAAAACCTTACTATAAGGTATAGTTAAGAATTTTTTTTTAAATTTTGAATTTCAACTATTTTTAGTATAAATTTGCGCTAAATAATATCAATATATTTTACTTTACATTTTTTAATTTTTTAAAAAAGATAATTTAGATTTTTAATTAAAATTCAAAAATTAAGTATTTTTTTAAATTAAAATATTGTTAAAGGTACTATAGAACAGAACAACATACTACTAAAAAAAGATAGAAATGCAACAAATTATTGCTTTAAATTTGCTAATATTATGTAACATTACTCAAAAGTTTAAGTAAGATAGTTATGATTTGGCACAGGTTTAAGGCAACTATTGAGTATATTACAATGTAAGAAAAATACATCTTAAAGAGTGTTTGATTTTTTTATTGAGTTTTTTTATTTAAGATTGTTATTAAAAGTATTTTATTATTTATTTATGTAGTGCAAGAATTGCATAAGATTCATTTCTGAAACAAAAGAAAATCCAACCTATTTTTATATGAAATTTATAGAAAGAAAAGAAGATGATATTTTGAACACCTTTCTGCAATTTTAACCCATCTTTTTCATTAACTTAAGCTGTTTTACCCTTTTTACTAACACCATTTTACTTTAAAACCCAGCCTTCATTCTATTAGTAATTTTTATTAAGTTTCACTCCAACAACGGCAAACAACCCAGGATATGACGACGCATTTACACGCCCACAGACTTTACCTGACAAGGTAATATTACCTTGACAGGTGTCAAACAAAATCGAACAGGTGGCTTTTCTATAAGATCGGCGCCGTCACCTAATCAGGGGGAATTTGGCTTGCTGCAAGGAGATCGTTGTTCGATTCTCTTGGTCACGGGCATCGTCGCACGACGGCTTTTCGTGTGACGTTCGTGGGTTGGTTGGTGTCGTTTTTTCCCAGGTCCTAGGGGCGGGTTTGCCTACAACAATATATAAAATAAAAAATATCATTCTAATATATTTTTATTAATGTTTTCTGCAAAAAAGTTCTGAACAGGTCCAGAATTTTTAATAGGTATTAAAGTAGCATTTACAAAAGATACTTTAACTAAACCGTACATATAATTAATATGGAAAACATGATATTGGCGACAGACTCCACTTGTCTCTCACATGTACCTGTAGCAAGTAGCAGTCTTTCAAACTCGCTGCATAAACCGGTTCCGAATTCGAATCCGGATCCGAATGAAGGACATGCTACTGGCGATAGAAGCATGTGAAAGACAAATGGAATCTACTGCTGATAGTGTGTTTTCTATATTAATTATACGTTCAGTTTCAGTTCTTGTATCCTTTGTGAAATGTTAAATTTATACCCATCAGAAATACCGGATCTGTTTGGATCTTTTTCTGCGGAACACTAATTTTTATATCGATATGTAGAACAAAATTACTTAAAATATAAAAAATAGAATTAATTAGTAAATTTTGACAATTAAAATATTTTATAATTTTACTACATAATAAAATTATGAAAAATACTATAATTCTCAAAAATGATACTAATTAATTCTATCTTTATGCTTTAAATAAATTTGTTCTGTATATAGATTATTGAGCTTAAACATGTCCGTAGACTTTTGAACTAAACTTGTACTAAACTTGACTTAAAAGATTGATATTGAACTTGAACTGAACTTTATATTTTAAAAATTTTCAAGTTCAGTTCAATTTTAACTGAACGTGAACATGACCTAAAGTTTGGTTCGGGTTCTTAGGAACACTAGACCGTAGTATATCAAATAGAGTAATTATACGTATTTCAAAAAACCAAAATTATTTTACAATAGTTTTGTAAAAAGAAAAGTAACATGTTTTCGGTATATCACAAATACAATTCAAAAAAATAATATATTTCATGTTAATTTTGTTACACAGTAAAATTTAACATTTTGCCACAATAGCATCAAGACATCAACATTTACTGTTTAGGAACAATATTATGGTAATTAGATTTAATTAAAAAGGGATAACCTATATTTTAGCTCATAGGATTATAGAGAAGAAGAGTATTTTTATACAAGATTAGACATTGGGTTAGGGCACATGGACCTGGGAATAACGTCGATCTCAAGATATAGTGATTTACAGAAGATTGGATTGACATTGTCAGGGACTTATGTTTAGCAATAACAGAATAACGATGGCATTCAATTACCAGTTATTTGTTTTTGGAAATTGTATACACGTATATATGTGACTGCTCAAAATTTTTAAACAATAGTCAAATGTGGACTCGTTTCCAAAACATCTTACGCAGAACAAGCTATAGATATATTGAAAATAATCATAAAAAAAGAAAGAATTAATAATTAAAAATATTAAGAATGAATATATATATCAAATATGCATCTGAGCCAACGCACCCCTTTTTTTACACACTTCATAAATTGGGATCCCACACCACACAAGATCTCCGAATATAGCTGTAACGGCACATAGCGAATATACTTAATGAAAGCGTACGAACAATTTTGTACATCAACTGCATATGTGTACGTGTTGCTTGTACGTATGTACGTATGCATACTTGTTTGTATTAATGTCAATGGTCACACGAGCATCTTTTTTGTCGGGAATACTTATAAGTGACGATTTACAATTGTACAATTTTTTTTTTTAGGTTTGACTTACCGGCCTTTGCTCTCTAAAAAAAAAACCTTATTCAATCCATATTCAAATCGAAGAATTAATTTCTCATTGGAATATTTATTCCTTCCTAAATACTTAACAAAATGTCATATCATTTATTAATGAAATTTTCTCGTGATTTTTGCCAACTTCTTGAAAGTGCAGCATATTATGATGTAATTATTCGTGTCGGTAAGGATGATAATGTTAAAGAATTTCAAGCACATTCTCTCATATTGAGAGCTAGGTCGACTTATTTTCGTAGTACTTTGGCGGGAGACAAATCCAAACCCGAGTATGACAAAATTATTGTTAATAAGAGTAATATATCTGAAGCAGCTTTTGAAGTTATTCTTAGGTAAATTGCTTTATTTTAAAATAGAACCTTTTTTTGGGATGTTTTTTTATTTTATTTTATAAATGAATTCTAATGAATCTTTTGATCTCTAGATATTTTTATAGTGGAAAAGTAGATTTTATGAATTGTGAAGGACAACAAACGCTTGATTTACTCTTTGCAGCTGATGAACTTGGTATTGTAGAAATATTGGAATGCATTCAGAAGCATCTAATAGAATATCAAACCGAATGGATGGATAGCAATTTCATTACTTATCATCGGAAAATTTTCAGGAATGAGGCTTTCAAGACTCTTCAAGATTATTACATTAACAAAATTTCAACCGACCCTACGAGTATATTTTATAAAGATGATATTTTTAGTCCAGAAACATTAAATTCTCTTGACGAATGTGGGTGTATTAAATTAGATGAAGCTATTTGGGGTTATATTGTCAACTGGGCAAAACTTCAAATTCCGAGATTAGGAAGCAAAGTTGCAGGATGGGCCAAGAAAGATTGGGATGAATTCAGGTTTGCTCTCGAGCAATGTATTCCTTGGAAAAGTGTTTTATCTTTAGGCTGGAATGAATTCCACGATCTTTTAGTTCCTTGTGAACCATTTTTGCCATCAGATAAATTCGAATATGCACTTAAACAACAGTTAAAAAAAGCTTGTGGATCATCAGCTATGATTTCTTCTCCGATTTCTATTCAATTCAATGGTACAATTATTAACATCTGTCATGCTACATTAATTTCAAGTTGGATTGATCATCGAGAAGAAAAACCTTATAGACCGGCAGATATACCATATGAATTTAGATTAATTGTCCGTGGAAGTCGAGACGGATTTTCACCAGAAATATTTTATCAAAAATGCGAAGGAATCCAGAAAACAGCAGTGATATTCAAAATGGCAAAAACTAGTGCATTATACGGAGGGTATAACCCTTTGGATTGGAAATTTGATCGTACCACTAAAGATAGTTTTATTTTCAATTTTGACGAAGAAAAAGCCGAAATTACTAGGCTTAATTCATTTGCAATTCATAAAAAAACCGGATATGGGCCTTGTTTTGGCACTAAAGATTTATTGTCATTCCCGGATGGAGATAAGACAATTTTGTGGAAGACAAATGATAATTCAGAATCTTTGGCAGTTTTAGATTACGAAGTTTTTCAGGTTGTGGAGAAGCCTAGAAGATCTATGCTTGGATCTACATCACATCAGAGTAATGGAATAACTCACAAAAAAAGGTAGCCTTCATGATTTTGAGAATCAATTCTTGAGCATTGGTTTTTGAGAAATGATTATTAAAGTTTTCTGGCCATAATAAAAAAAAGTTTAATTTTATTTTTCTTTTGAAATGAAATTGTATTAAATGCTTAATTTTGGGCTATATTATTAGAGTTAGAGCTTTTTTGAAATTGGTTATTTTAAGAATTTTTAGTTTTTTTTTTATATATATCAAATAACTAAATTATCTATGTTATTGATCAAAATTCTTTATATTATTTAGATAGCTCGAAGCATTTATTTTTACTGTAAATGAATTTAGCCATTAAGTAGAAACAAAGGTCTTGATTTTTGATATTTTATAAATTTAGTAGAATTTTATAGTCGATTTTTTCTGGCTAAATAATAAAATAAATTATTTAATTTTATTGTTTAGGATAGTGTATAGATAATTTTATCATTATTATTAATTAATATAAATAGAGGAAATATTAAGAAAACATTTTAATTGTGGATTTCTTTTATGTATTAGGTTCATAATTTCTATTTTTTAAATAAAAATATAAATGTAGTGCTGGAGGTCTATTACCAAAATTTACATACCTTTTTTCAACTTTGAGTCTCAAATTTCTATACAAGTTTTTTTTTTTACGAACCGACTGGTAATTTTGGTAAGCAAGATAAGCTCTATATAATTACCAGTCAATTTTTTTAAAAAATTTGCATACATAATGTGTTTAAATGATTTGATCATTCAACTTTAAAACATCACCATATGAATAAAAATTTAACATCAAAGTACCGAAGTACGTATTTAAAGAGGAAAAGCTCTATTATAGATCCCGCTATGAAAATTTATCAATATTCTTGTGCATTGGGCTTTTTATAATTAAGCGAATTGACTTTACGGACACCTATAAGGAATTATTAGTAATGCTAATCATTTTTGTACTGGAATCTTTTGGATTATTTCACTTTTTGTCTTTTTGTCCTAGCCTTACTCGTATTTTATGTCCGTTGATTTTCTATTCGAGGTGTTTCGGATCTGTGTTTGAATACTGTATAAATCGAATTAGAATCAACTAATTGCAGTAACTTTCTGATAATTATACTCGTATTTTGTATAGAGTAATTATCTTTCCGAAAGTTTTCGACATAACTTATTCAATTAATTTGTAAATTGATATTTCCACTCCCTTTTTTGATATTGCCACCTCTGTTAATAAAAATTAATATAGATTATTAGGGTTCGGTTAGAGTTTAGAGTTAGCAGGGGTGTGGAAATTAGTATTGCTTGCTGCAAATATGAAATGCGACTTTTTTATAGCGTCACTAGGGTTGCAACTTATTGTCGCAATAGAATGTGATATCAATAATCTAATATATATGACTTATCTTGTAATAATTACAACATAAATAAGCTGTAAAGGTTAAGTTGCGACTTTGCAGCAGGCAAGGCTAGTGGCAATATCAAAAAAATGGTGTGGAAATATCAATTCCTTAATTTATGACTTAATTGGACAGACTTTTACAATAATTATGTGCGCGCATTTATATGAACTAACACTAATGAAAAGAGAAAGAAAAAGTGAAGGGAAATGACGAATGAGAAAAAGAACAGGGACGAAGAAAAAGAAGAATGAAGGAAAAGAAAGATAATGAAGGAAAAGAAAGAGAATGAAGGAGAAGAAAGAGAATGAAGGAAAAAAAGAGCGAAGGAAAAAAGAACGAGGAGAACGAGAAAAACGAAGGGGAGAAAGAAAAAGCGAAGTGAAAAAAGAAGTGAAGGGAAGAAGAATGAATGAAAACAAAACGAAGGGAAAAAGAATGAACGAAGGAATGAGAATGAACGAAAAGGGGGGAAATAAAGAACGAAAAGAATGAACGAAAAGAAAAGAATGAGTGAAAGAGATGAAAGAGAAAAGAATGAACGAAGGAGAACAGTAATAATTATACTTTTCATCGTTTTTATGCAAATCTGCAATATTCGTCCAAAGTTCAATACAGCGAAATTATTTTTAGCATAATGTATAGTTATTGGATGCGAAGCAGCCAATAACGGAAATTATCTGGCTGTTAAGTTTAATATGTCAGCTTCTGGGCCCCGAAGAACCGCCCTAGCATACCCCTAAAAAAAAGTTACGTATCTGAGTTTAAATTTCTCCGAAAGTTAATTTTCCATTTTTCGAAATCTTGTGCTTAACTGAATAATAGCAAAATTATATTGAAATTTATGTATACTACACTTTGAATGTAAAATTCGAATAAATTGTTACATATTAATTCTTTCGACTATTGTAAATTTTACAACATATATTTTTGCAACTTGCTTAACTATTTATTACATTATTTATATCACAAATAAAAAATACCTACATTATATTATTCCCAATAAAATGTATTTTTATTTCTTTCTGACCAAGTTTTTTTAGATTTTTTGGCATTTTCATACTTGTTTAAATCATTAACCATACGTTCAACTGGTTTAAAATTTGATTCAATGTTTTTTAGTCATTTTTTTTATCAAGAAAGATTAGACAATTTAGAAATAAAAGTATTTGCCTACATAAAATCTTATTAATATTTATATTTTTTTTTTTTTTTTTAAAGAGAGGTCTATCCTCTATCTCTTTTATTTATAATCAATTTTACATATATAAGATGAA